TCAGGGATGGGAAGAACAGAGAGGACCAGAGAGCAGGAGAGGGGCTTTTCCCTCAGGAAAGTAGGAATGTCCGGAAACAGAGGAAGCGGGTGTACATGTCGATGGACCAAGGTGACCCTGACTTCTATGCTCTAGAATTGTTCATTTTGTCTAAGTGAATTTTCCCCAGTGAAGAGAAAACCACATCAGCTGAAGGCCAAGAGAGGGCAGAGGGTGGCACCTGCATTCGGGCAGGCCCGGTCCTCAGCCCCTTCCAACTCCTTTGCTGCTGAGCTGTGTCACTGAGCTGCCCTCCACAGCGCCATTTTACAGGTGGGGAAACTGAGGCCCGAATCCCTGGGTCATACAAGGACTGCTGCAGCTGGGATCTGAATCCAGAGCCCATTCCCTGAGCCCTGACTGTGACTCTGGCTTCGGGTGAGGCCTTGGTATCACACAAGGTGGGGATGGAGGGAGAGTGAGGCACCATGGGAAGCAGGAGGCACGAGGGCACTGTGCCAGGCAGCGCCAGCCTCCCTCACCTCAGCCCGCCTCTTGCCCATTCTGTGCATCTCAAGGCGTCGTTTGGGAGCCCCTGGTGCCTCCCTGAGGTTCTCAGAGTGACCTCTGGTTCTGAAGCCGGGAGAGTGTCCCAAGGTCCCAGTCACTGCCATCTTCCCACTGCCCTCCTGCTGGTCCCCTGCTGTGGAGGGCAGGGCAGCCTGTGGATCCTTTGTGAGCTCTGTCAGGGGGCCACGAAGGAGAAGGACAGAAGAGGCTAAACCCCAATGTGAATGCATAGCGGAAATCCAGGAGCAAGGGGGCTGGGAGCTAGATCCTGGGGCCCAGGCAGGGCTTCACCGGGAACGTCTGTATCAGCCGCTTGGGCCTGTGTCTATCTTAAAACCATCAGCAGGATTGTACTTCGGTCAATCAGTGGCTCTGGGGTTGGTAGGAGGTCCTCCCTGGGTCCCCAAAGATGTGTGTTTACACGGGGAGGACGGTGTGGTCTCTGGAACATGCTGTTTTGTTCAGTGCTGAACATTTGTTTTTTCGTCCCGTGGGTACTGAGCAGTTCTGTCATCCACCCACAGACTTATAACCTGTGGGAAAGGGAGGGCGGAAATCCCACCGATAGGACATCTGCCTCTCCTGCCCACACTGCCCCCAGCAGGCCCACGTGGTCAGCACAGAAGCTGGGTGAAGTTCTACAGGGGACATCTGAGGCCAGGGGTGGGTGGGTGTCCTGTGTTGGAGTGCAGAGCAGCAAACCGACCTCACTGTGTGAGCCTGAGAAGGGTCCCTCTGGTCCCGCTAGGGATTCCAGGATGAGGGTTCTCGGGGCTGCAGGCTCCCTGTTTCCTCTGATCGTAGGGATAGACAGTACCCTGAAAACACGCCCTACTATTCTGGGTCTGATGGGGACGCTGCTGGCCAATAGGCGCAAATGTACTCAACAAGAGCCTTCCTGCTTGGAGGGAGAAATGCTGCGAGGCCGTCGTGGGACCATCAGTGAAGTCTGTAACGTGGGTTAGACAATATTATGATGCTCTTGTCAAGCATCCCCACTCTGATGGTGGGTGATGGTTGTGTAGGAGAACACGCTTGCTCTTTGGAAATCTGCGCACTGGGCCGGGGTTTGTTCAGTTATCTGCTATGCCCCAAACAAGGGAAATTGAAAGAGCCACCATTTATCATTCCTCACCTGCTGTGAGCCTCTGGTGAGCCTCAGCTGGGCGGTTCTTCTGCTCCTGAGGCAGTGGTGACTGGCGTGTGGCAGCACTTGGCTGGCAGCTTGGCAGGGTCAGCATGTTGTTGGGGGCTGGATCCCACCTCTGTACTGGCCACCCCATCTGGTAGGCTCATGGGAAACTCTTTATAGGGCCTCTGGGTCCCAGGAGGGCCAAACAGAAGCTGCCACATTCTACTGGCCAAAGCAAGTCCTTAGTGCCCCAGCTCCCTCGGGTGGGAAGTAGATGTCACTTCCTAATGTCACACGAGTAGGATGCAAGAAGCTAGTGGCAGCTGCCTTTGCAGGCCATCTAGCACCATGGAGTCCAGGGCTGAAGGCAACACACCTGCCCCCTTCTCTCAAATGTTCTAGAAAGTTACATGCATGTGGGAAAACAAGGTCTGAAACATTGAATCTGGCTGGAGGCTGTGCAAATGGTTTATTCATGCCCTTCCTGAAGTTTGCTGTAAGCTTGAAATTATTTCTAAGTAAGAAATTAGGAACAAGCTTTACCACATTCAAATCTGTACGTTTCTCCATCAACAGAGACTAAAGAATGGCTGTCACGTGGGGCTGAGGGCGTCTCCCTCACTGATGGGGTAGATGGTGACACAGCCCCAGACAGACGAGACCATCCTCTTCTGTTTTCTTTCATTATTTATTTGTGTATGTTAGCAATAAATAATAGCTTCGTTCGTTGTGGGGAGTGTGCACATGTACCTCAGATCTTGATCATTTTCAATCCTTTCACCCCCCTCGCTTCCCTCCCCGATCCCTTTCCTTATCCTAAGTTCTTGTTTAGATCAGAAGCCAAGAAGGCAGCGAGGGACAAAGGTTTCTGCCCACGAATGCTTCGCTAAGACTGGCAGTGGCAGACGTTAGTGCCTCAGCCCTTACCTGCTTCTTCCAGGCTCCCCTCAAAGGGGCCAGTGGTGTCCGCCTCCGTCCCACCTCCCAGGCCCCTTAGGAGGGAGGTGTCTACCTGCTCCCCAGGGTAACAGGCTGGGCAAACCCATCAGACGTCCCTGAGCACAGCATGTCTCAGGTCAGCTGACAGTGCCTGAGCCTGGTCAAAGCAGAGGGTCTAGGTTGACAGTTTAATGTCAGTAAGAAGGAGCTGTGTTTCTTCCACTGCCAGGGCAGGGGCTCTCTTCTGAGGGATGCTCCTTGTTGTGGTTTAGATCTAATGTGTTCTCCGAAAGTCTCCTTTGTTCAGAGGTGGAGATTTTGCAAGTTGGTTACTTACTCTTCACTGGATTCATCCATTGAGGAGTTCATGTCTGAATGTGCTGTCAGGAGGTGGGCCTGGTTGGAGGTGGTCACTGGGGCTGTGGCCTGGAAGGGTGTGTTCTTGCCCTGGTTCCTCCTTTCTTGCTCTCTGCTTCCTGGTCACCGTTATGTAAGCAGCTTTCCTCCTCTAGTCCCTTCCAGCCATTTCTGTTTTGGAGCCACCCAACCATGGACTGGACCCTCTGGAACTGTGAGCCAAAAAACTTCTCTTCCTTTAAGTTGCAGGTGTCAGGTATTGTGTGTGTCTCAGCAATGCGAAAGTGACTAAAACACCCTCTTCAGGAAAAAAAAAACTATTTCAGAAAAACAACACTGGTGAGCTGTGTGCAAACTGGAGAAATAGTTCACCTTCCCTTTTTGTACAAAGGCACTGTGGTCCTCAGGAGGAGGCGGAGGAGGAGGGCTGGGGACAGTTTATCTTTATGGGATGCTTGGGGGCCATCAACCCACAAAGCTGGGTTCAAATCCTATTTCTTCCATCTCTGGGCAGAGGACTGAGCCTCTCTAACATTCTGTATCCTTAGCTACAAACTAGGAAGCACCATAGCATCTGTGAGAATTACATAGGTGAGTTACAGGTTCCTGACTCCATAGCTGTCACTCTCCAGCCAGGAGACAGGACACAAACCACCCCAATTAGCCCAGGACCAAGGGGACTCCAAGGATACTGAAGCCAGGAGAGTACTAGGCAGATGGGGGCAAGTTGGTGGCTCTGCTCGGCAGGTCTCCTCCCCGTGCTGTCTTCCCCCTGTGGGTGCTTACCAGGAGCCACCTCAGTGTTGATGAGCAATACCCATCGTCTTGCAGAAGTGAAGCAGCCCCTGCGTTGGCACAGATGAAGGCACCAGACTCTATGGGGGCAGTATAGGCAGCAGGAGGCCCAGGCTCAGGTCCTCATTGCCACTGGAGCCAAATAATCTGCTCCCAAAGGGTCAACCCTCAGCATGTCCAGGGCAGATGGGGACAGCACCATGCATCTTGGGTCAGGGGAGAATCGAGACATTCTGACTTTGCTTTGCAGCCTCCCAGGAGGTGGTGAGAGCTGTCCTCTCAGCATTCCAGGCCTCCCTCCCTAACAGTCCATGTGGCAGGGATGAGGAGAGGGACCAACCATACCAGTCTGCCCTGCACCGAGGGGTTTCCTGAGCCCAGGGACTTCAGTGCTAAAGCTGGGAAAATCCCAGGGAATGGGCCAGCTGTCCCCTGCTTGTTATCCTCGTCTGTAACACAGGGACAGTGCTACCTCCCCAAATCCCACTTTCATCAGCAGAGCATTAACTGAGCCCTCCTGTGTGCCAGCAGCTCTGGGGATTCATGAATGAACGAGACAGAACCGTCCCAGAGAGAGGTGGGCATGGGTAGCTGTGACATCAGAGAAGGACAAGGCTCCTCCAGGCAGTGACAGTGCTGCAGAGGGGAAGCAGGACGGTGGCAGAGGACTCTGGAGGGCTGGGGAGGAGTAGCTCAAGGTCCAGAGAAGGCTTCCATTGGCAGATGGCTTAGGAACTGAGGCTGGATGGTGAGAGGAAGCCCCTTGTAGAAGGGCCAGAAGAAGCCCATTCCAGGCAGAGAATACAGTAGGTGCAAAGGGCCTGTGGCTGGCATAATTTTGCTCAGCTGGCTTGTGGAAGTCAAGGGAAGCAAAGGCCCTGGGAAGCCTTGATGAAGACTCAATTCTACGCTACTTGTCATGGGAAGTGGAAAGCGGTGTAGCTTGATGGTTAGGAATGTGAGCCCAGAGCTGGATGGCTTGGGTTCAAATCCCAACTCTGTCTTTTGCTGCCTGGGTGACCCAAGAGCTAAGTAGCAGGTAGGGTGGGGACAAATGCTGAGCTTGAGGCCCAGGCCCAGCCACGTTTCCTTCCCTGGCTCCCCGGGAGGCACCCCAGAGTCACCTGCAGGCACCTCCTGTGAGAACTCACAGCTTCAGGCTGGCCCCAAGCTAATAAAGCCACGCAGACCTTGGCCCATCCTTCTGCTCCCTCTTTCTGTAGCTCCAAACTCTGACATCAGTCTACTTCCAGCCTACGAATAGTCACACCAGCAAAATAAGGAAAGCAAAAGAAGATAAGAGAACACGGCCACCACAGGCATGGTTGAGAAGGCTCCATCCCAGCCACTCTGCAGCTGTGTGTCCCTTGGCAATTACCCCCCCAACCCCTGTCTCTCTGGGCTGTTTTCTTATCTGTAAACTGAGTGTAATAGGCCTACCCTGAAGGTATCTCCCCTCATCAAATGTGAGGACAAACCCAGAAAGCAGCCTTAGGCACAGTTCCTTGCAAATGACGCTCCAAAAATAGCTGTCATTGCTGTCATCACCATGGTTACCACCCACATCACTGCAGTCACTGTCACCATCAGAGCGATGGTCCCACTACCACTGTGGTCAGTATCACCACCGACATCATCGCCATCAGCCTCACCGTCACCACCACCACCATCGTGGCCCCCAGGTACGCTGCCGCTGTCTCCTTGTGACAGAATTCCCCTGGGGAGTCTGCTTGATGCTTTTTGACCTCGAAGCTGACTTTCCCTGGCTTGTGGTGGTTAAAACTACTGCCCTGGCATTCTTTCCATGGTTTATTGTTTTAGAAAATCAAGTAGAAAATTGCTTTCTTCCCAATATGGTTCTCAGATATGCGGCTTTGGGATTTTCCACTGGCATCCTGGAATGTTCTCATCAGAAACCTTAAAGGCGCCATGACCAGGCTGGAGCTGTGCCCCAGGGCATCTGGCAGCTGAGTATCTGACACATACTGCACAAGCCCAGCTTTCTCCATGTATAATCCGTGTGGATAGCAAAGGCCTCTCAAACAGAACAAGCCAACCTCACAGGGCCCTTGGAGGACAGGGAATCCCACTGGCCACTGTGATGTCATGGGCCATTGTGACATCATCTGCTACCAGCCCCTCACTAGGGGCCAATCAGATAAGGCTATGTGAGCCTGGATTCTTCAGTTTCCAAAACTGTCTTCTTCGTAAAGTACACTGCCTCAGGTATTTTATTATAAAAACAGAAAATAGGTTAATAGCAGTTGTAAGCTGAAATGATTGTTTTTTTACACTGAACACCATTTCTATTTGAAAGTGTTATAGTTTAGACCTAAAATCCTCCCCCTAAAGTCTCACCTTTGGAGGTGGGGTCGTGGCAGAAGGGGCAGATCTCCGGTGGCACGTGCTGGAAGCAGGTATTCTCACCCCTGGCTCTTTCCTTCTCTCTGCTTTCTAGTTCCATGTGATGAGCAGCTCCCCTCTGCCATGCCTTTCTGCTGTGCTATTTCTTCCACGGAGCCAGCTGACCAAGGACGGGATCTATTAAAACTGTGATCCAAAATGAACCTCCTTCCTTTACGTTGTGAGTGTCAAGTGTTTTGTCTCAAAGTCCGGAAAGTTGAAGAATATAGAATATTGGTACCAGAGAAGTGCACTCATTGCTGTGACTGCGATGTGGTTCGGAACCCTTTGGAATTGGTTTGGAGGAGGAGTTTGGAAGGATTGGGGATGCCAGCTAAGAAAAGCCTTAAAATGCTATAAACAGAGATTGATGGGAGATTCTAGTTGGAGCTCAGGAGACTCGAATGCTGTTAGGTGTAAGATAGTGAAGGCCGGGCTCAGAAGGTTTCAGTCGGGAATAAGACTGCACTGGCAGTTGCAGTAGAGGTCATCTGTGCTATACTCGGGAATAAAATTTGTCTACAACGGGCTCATGTCCTAAGACTTTGTGGGAGGTCGAGGTTAGAAGTGGCAGACTAATTCATCTAGCAGAAGAAATTTTAAGGCATCTCAGCATTCAGGCTGTGGCATGAGTACTGCTAGCTGCTTTTACCCAGATTTAGTGAAAATTAGGAGCAAGTAGCAGAGGTGAATGATTTGAAAAGTTGCAGGTTCACTGGAAAGGAAGTGCTGCAAAGACAAGCCTGAGAAAAGCTTGTTTACTGAGAAGATTATCATTAAAAAGAAGCAAGTACTGTGCATCAGGACAATAGGAAAGATGGCTTGGAGGCAGCAAGGGAATCCGTATCACAGGCTTAAAGGTTAAAAAGTGTAAAGCTTTCATTTGAGAAGAGACCTCTGGGTCCCTATGGGAGAAGGGCCTCCCAGGAAATTTGGTCCCTGGGATTGATTTCACCATGCTCAGCCATCCCAGCACTCAGAAATCATTGCAGACATGGTCCAAATGGGCCCAAGTACTGCTCAAACTATCAGCCAACCTTGGCAACATCCATCTGGTGCTGCTGGTTTTTCAGGCATGCACAATGCAAGTTATGGGGTCACAGAAGTCCTCACTCAGAGCTTAGAGGAAGGCCAGAAGCCAGGCTAAAATGTGTGGCAGAACCACAGTCTCTGCTAGGAACCAGTGAGAGGGTAGTGCACGAAGCTGTGAAGGTGATGACAAAAGTGCACTAGAAAGCCAGGAAGGTGGAGTTGCCGGAAATGTGGATTTTCTTTTGCTGAGGAACACAGCAGACAGTGAGCAAATCCATTTCAGAGAGAGGCCATGTGGGCTGCAACTGGTGATGCCATAGGGACCGGGCTTCCCAAGCCCTTTGGAGCTTACATTTCACAGCAGTCTGCTGCAGCAGCTGAACACTGAGCTACATGATTTAATGCTTGCCATGCTGGGTTTCGGTCTTGCTTTGGTCCAATCTATTTCTCTATTCCCTTTCGGAACAGGAATGTTTACCCTACCCCATTTTATGTTGGGAATATCTATCTTTCTTTTGTTTGTTTTTTTACAGGTGACTATAGCTAAGAGTTTGCCTTGAGTCTCAGAGGAGACTTTGGACTTTTCAGCAATGCTGGACTTGTTAAGACTTTGGTGACTTACAGAGATGGACTAAAACATTTTCACAATGAGATTGACATATTATACCAGGGGCTGAATGTTAAGGTTTAGATCTAAATCTCCTCCCAAAGCCTCATGTTCAGAGGTGAGACCTCATAAGGGGCAGATCACTGTGAAGATGACTTGAAAGAGTCTCTTCTCATCCCTGGCTCCTTCCTTCCCTCTCTGTGCTTCCTGGCCGCCATGTGGTAAGCAGCTCACCCCACCATGCCATTCTTTAATGCTATTTCTGCCTTTCAGTTAGCTGACCATGGACCAAATCCACTGAAACTGTGAGCGCAAACAAATTTCTCCTCCTTTGAGTTGTGGGTATTGGGTATTTTGTCCCAGCTATGGGAAAGCTAAGACAGAAAGAATGATTGACAGTTAATCATGATTTTTAAGATTTGTGTTTTGTGTAGACATTTTTGAAAATAAACAAAGTGAGCCTCACACTTTGAAGTGAACTAACAGCTGTATTTTTTTTGCCAATGAGATGTAAGCTTTTGTCAAAATTTAGAATTTTGAAGATCTTGTATCCATCATTTTGATCTTGCTCCCTAACACTTATTTTCCATGGTGATAGTGGTGAATGTGAATTTTTGGATGTTGTAAAGTGAAATGTGTCAGCAGATGGAAGATCTCGTCAGTCAGTAAACTAACACTTCTCATGGATGAATGCATGATGTGTCAAAGTCACGCTTAAACGATGCACTCAAAGTACAGGACAGGTGAACAGATTTTCATTCGACAAAGAACAAATGTTCACTGGTTTGCTTTAGTATTCTTCATTGCCACTAACTGATAAATACTGCTACTACTTGTCAAGTTGTGCATAACGTCAAGAAATTACATGAAAAGGTTATAAAAATACTCTCCTTATCCAACTGCTCAAGCGCACAGAGGGCAGTTTGGGAAATGCTATGTATTATGGCAGCTTTTCCTACCAAGGTCGTTGCCAGAGCTGAAGCGAACTGGCAATCACGGATCAGGACCCGCAATCCGTGGCCAGGGAGGACGAGGATGACGGACGATGGGCTGGGCCTGGGAAAGGGCCTGGTCCCATCCCTAAGTTTGTGCCAAGTCACTCCAAGAGCAGCTAAGAGACCTACCAGTGAGGAGAAAGCAAAAGAGACCGGGCTGAGCATGGGGAGTCTTTCCTGCAGCCCAGGCCCTCCAAAGGTGGGGAGGAGGTGGGGCAGGGGTGAGCTCCTCATCCACGGGGGTGTGCAAGCCTGGCTAGAGCAGCTGCAGTAGGGGTGCTGCAGAAGGACGACTCTGCCCTGGGTGAGACCTCATCTTTGTCATATTCTGCATCCCTCATTCATTCGTCATTCAGTCATTCAATGGCCCCAAGTGAGCACTGAAAGGAACTGGCCCATGCGTGGGATGCAGACGGGAACCCTGCGGTCCTGCTCTGGGGGAGCCGTGGCCTCCTGTCCATAGCCTGCCAGGCAGTGTGGCCGACACCATCATGGTCTAAAGACAGGGGACCCGTAGGTTCCATCTTAGCATGGTCACCAGACTCACCAGGAAGTGGCCTCCTCACCTGTAAAACGGAAAAGTGCATCAGGCGTGGTGGTGCATGTCTGTAATGCCAGCACCTTAGGAGGCTCAGCAGGAGGATCTGGGGTTTGAGCCCAGCGTGAGCAATGTAGTGACTTAGTAAGACTCTGTCTTAAAATGAAAAATTTACAAAAGGCCTGGGGATGCAGCTCAGTGTGAAGGCCCTGGGTTCAATCTCCAGTATAAAAGGAAGAGGAGGAGGAGGAGGAGGAGGAAGTGCTAGAGACTCCCGCAGTTAGGTTCTAGTCTCCTGCTCAGTTTGCAATGCAAAGCTAAAGGAAAAACATAAAAACAGAACTGAGACAGCAGGTGAGAGCTGAGACAGCCACTGCTGGATCCCCAGCCAAAGACCCCGGTCAGCCTCATCCACTGGTTCTTATTGTTGATCAGTTGGGGTAAAGGGGATCTATGTGAACAGATGTGCAGTTCGTGCAGTTGCTATGGAAACGAACGCAGGCAAGGCTTTAAAGAGAAGACAGCATTTTCAAATGAGAAGATCGACAAAATATACAGTTGTAATTAGAAAATTGTCCTTCCAGCTGTGAAGGCGCTAACTGTGGGAATGGAATTTGGGTACGAATTACTCTGACTTCAGCTGCGGATGCTGTCACATATCCGTCCCACAGCTTCACAGGCCAGTGCTCTGGTCTCTGCTGTGGCCCTTAGTGGGGAGGTCCTGTTGTCCTGTGCGCCTCTACAGTGCTCAGGAGAGGCTTCTGGCTTCAGTCAGCCTCACTTCTTGAAGTAAGGCCGTCTAGGATTTAACTCTGCAGCCTGCACTGCTCACAGCATGCTTTAGGCTAATCAATATTGCAACTTCCGGCAGGGAAGTGATGGAAGGAGGAGGAAGAAGGAGAAGAAGAGGAGGTAGACAGAAGGTGGAAAAGGAGGAGGAGGAGAATAAACTGAGCAGACTGTTCAGCCCAGCCCTGGTCAGCTCTGGGAGCTACAGGGCACCGAGGGACACAGCCTGAAGCCACTGCATGCCTTTCCTCTGCCCCACCGTACAGGGCAGGTGGACAGGCTCACAGCCTGGCAGAAGTGGGGCTCAGAGAGGTGCAGTAACATTGCTATGGTAACCGAGCTGGGCGCTGGCGGCAGAGCCTGAGTACGGACCCCCTGCTCTAAGCCCCACAGGAGATCCCAGGGGCCATCTCTGAAAACAGGGACGACAGCAAGATCTTCCTTCCTGGAATGATCAGCGGCAGAAACTGGGGCAAAATCTGGGCCCTGGGTCTGGGACAGAGCAGAGTCCAAGCGGGATGAGGGTGCAGAGGCTGAGTCGGCCCATGCTGATGGGACAGCATCTTCCCCAGCCTCAGCTCGCACACCCCGGAAGTTACAACCAGCCGGACATACAAGCAACTTGGGTCACAACCAGAATTTTAGCTCTAACTTATGACCAAAGTCTTGAGTTATGACCCGAATGCTGGCCACTTGTGCTTGCAGATGGTCTCAGACTCAGATCTAACCCTTAAAGGGTTCTGGCAGGAACATGAAGCATCCTCTCCTGTGTGGGGCTCACTGGGAAATCCTGGGCCGGTGTCTCTCTAAGGATGCTGAGATCTGCTGTGTTCAGTAGAGACTCTGAAGGCTGTGCAGAGGAGCCTGGGCCTTCACTGACCAACCTGAGTTACAACCAGCCCTTGGGAAAGGATTGAGTTCGTAAGTCAAGGGTCCACAGTAGCAGCGGGCCTCAGCCTGAGCCCGGCCCCACACTCAAGGCCGTGTGACCTTGAAGGGCCGCTCCTCCAGCCTCAGTTTCTCCATCTGTAAACAAAGCAGGCACATCTCAGAATCGGTAGGAGATGGAACGCAACCGGCAGAGGCGGTGAGTCCCAACTAAGCCAGCGTCCAGCAGCGGGTTCTCCCTGCTCTGCCTTAACTGGGGAAGGAGATTGCACTTGGGTCCCTGAGCCCTTGGCATAGCTGACAAAAAAGTGATGATAAAAAATAAAC